AAATATGATATTGTATCATTAAGTGGAACATTTGATAAACAATCTCATTATATAATGGGTTCATTTGCTGATCCTGATACAGGTTCATTAATTGGTGGTCAAGTTCGTTCTCTTACTGTTCATACAACATGTGAATTAATGTTAGCTGAACCACTTGATTGTACTTTTCATCGAGAATTTGATCCAAGAACTGGACAAAATGAATTAAATATTAGACGAAAACTTCTTATTGATTGATGAAAAAAACTTTTCTCTGTAGATTTTTTTTTTGTACTTTAATTCAATTTATAAATGTTCTTCGTTTTTTTGGTTAGAATAATAAAATATTTTATTTAACTTAAATAAATAGATTTGTTTTTATTAATGGTATTTATTGACTATCATAGATAGGATAAATATTATCTTTTATATGAAACATTTTCAATTCTTATTCTTTGTGTTGATATTATAATGATAATAGCTTTTTCTATGATGATTAATGTTGTCTATTGACATATAATCGAATGATTTGTTTTTGTCAATTATAAGATGCGCATGACATCAATCAAATATGGTGCATACTATAATCAATGATTGATCCTACTTATATTTCAAATACCTTCTCCTTTTTTGACTAAAGAAATAAAAGAAAGACGTACTGTAAAATATGATGTATTTTTACGTAGAATATCGGACATATTACCAACATTAAAATCTATATCGACATCAGATTCATCAGATTTTATCTTTACAAAAAACGTTTATTTTATTTTTGTTTTTAATAATAGTTTCAGCTGTGATATTTTGATCCTCTTGCAATATCATCATCTGTTATATTATGATCAGTTCAAGAAACAAATGCGGATGCGGCATTTCAAGTAGTAAATGGTGTTTCAATAAATACGTCTTCTGTTTTAGTAGCGACGAACAATCAAGATCATATTGGATTAGAATTTTTATTTTACAAAAAATTTATCTTCAAGCAATTAATTATCTGAATTATCATTGAATGCTATCAAAAAAAAAACAATAGTAAATTGAAGCCTAAGCAAAACTATTCTAGATCAGAGAATAATATTCGCACAGAACTTACTTATGAAGAAGCATCAGAAAATCAAAAAATTTTCTTCCATTTGTTATGAAAAATAATGTTACACTTCCCCCCCCCCCCCCAAATTAAAAAATTCCACCTTTTACTCCTAAAAATTTCGCGACGCTCCCTAATGTTGGTTGACTCGGGCCACCCCTGAAAAGCATTTACTGATATAGCTTCGACGTATCCATTTATTCGAATTAATAATTACTTAGGGTAATCCAAAAGCAATGACACAGATACTTTATTTCCATATAGAGAGCTTTGAGAAATTTTTGTTTTTTTTATATAGTAATAAAAAAGCAATGCTCTATTTTTCTGTGCTATTCGATCACTTTTCAACTAATATCATAATAATAAAACTTCGATAGAAGCTGGTTTTTTTTCTATATAACTTGACTATAACATTAGATCATATTATCATCCTTGTGTATTCTCTTTTCTTTCACCTTTTTTTTTCTCATTGCTTCTAATGTCTTCACATCCATAGATATTAGAGTGTACAAAAAGTAATGATGTTAGAATAGAAAAGAAATACAGAAACAAGTTCAACAAGATTTTACTTCATTAAATATTTAAAATAATCACCTTGATTATCTACACACAACTGCATTCGTCAAATCCATGTATCGAAAGTTTTTCTATATTCTACCTTATTCAAAGATTACATCAACTTTATTACAGCATCACACAATGATTCGGCATTATTTTCATTGCTTAGATTCTGTTTGATTAGATCGAATAACCGAAAGTCATAAGGCGTCAGATCCAGAGAATTAGGCAGATGTGATATTATTGTGATACCTTTTCATTCAAGATAATAGGAGACATTTTTATGAATAATATACTCTTTCATTATTGTGCTGAAGTTTAATATCACAGATGTCAAATGAGAGTCTTTGATATTTGATTTTATCGACAAGAGCTTCCAAACAATTGTTAATATAATACTGGTGATCAAAAGTTTCCCATGTGATAAAAACCGGAAGAAAACCTGCGGTTAACCGCTAAAATGAATCTGTTTGCCGATGATCAGTGATATTCAGTTGCTTCAAATCATCGATTTTGCTATTTTAAATGTTTTTTTCTTGTACCTTCCCATGTCATAAGAGTGCTCGGAAAAACCGTCGATTTACTGCGGATTTATCGATTTGGTTACCTGCTCCCGTTACTGCAATTTACCGTGGTTTCCCGCTAAAAACTGTCCGATATTTACGATATGGGTTGTTTCCGTTTTATACAAATGAATCAGAAGAGAATCAGTTGACTTTAAAAATGTTGACCATCTTTCAACTTTTCAAAGAAAATGAGCTTGATCATCGTCAATAAAATATAATTCATCATGAATAACTTTACTTGAATGTTAAGTGCAGTACAAACTTTAAGGTAGAAGCAAAATTTTTCCATATTCATGTGAAACAGGTGAACAATGTTAAAGTTTAACTTAACTTTACTTTTTGACTTTCTTGTAAATATACGAATAAACTACACATACATACAAAACAAACATGACATTTTTCTTGATATATATGTATGCATAGACGGGTAGGGATTAGAAGAGACGAGAAAAAAAAAGATGAAAGAAAAGAGAAAAACAAAACGAGAATACATATGGATGATTAATATAATCTAATGTTATAGTCAAGTTTTAGACAAAAAACAATTCTTATCGAAGTTTTATTATAATGATATTAGTTTAAAAGTGATTAAATAGCACATAAATCATATCCGGCACTAGTTTTTGATTGCCCTAAGCATTTGTTCATTCAATTCTAATCATGTTTACCTTCGTAATAGGAACTATTTATGATTCGTTTTTGGATTTTAACTCAAGGTTAATGACTTTAATAGAAGAATATTTACACGATATATGTCATAGATATCTTATTGCTTTTTAATGACTATTTCAATAAATTTTTATTAAATTAAGTTCAATTATTAGATATTTCATATATGAAAAGCTGAAATTGAGAAATAAAATTATTAAATAACTGATTTTCGATATAATCATACTAAGGATATCATGGAAATAGCGACAACAATAGGCAAATATATGAAAATGTATTCAATAATTGAATTTAACTATCATCTCTCAGACTATTATTATTAATTAATATGATTCTTTTTATTTTTAGAATATTTTTCATTGTTTTGTTAAATATTTATCGACAATATGTTTCTATCTTTATTTATTTCATACTGTTAGATTATTTTGAAATGTGGCTTAAACTTATATATTTTTAATACTTATTTACGTTGTAGATTTATGTATTCGTTAATCCCGTATGTTTTCTAAGCCAATATAGTTCTTATTAGAAATCAGATTGAATTATGGAATTTAGGAAGTGAACAGACAGCATCTTTATAAAAAGCTTAAAGTGAACTAATTACATAGCTAGTAGGTATACCAACCTTTTTCTCTTAATAATTATACCATCTTAGAAATCTGATACAACTCGTTAAAACTCTTCTGGAATTTTTGTAGGTTTGAATAGAGTTGAATTTGTTTTATGGTCGATAATAAATCTTATATGATTTGATAAAATACATATTTTGTTTTGTATTTTCAAGTTTCTTATTAAACTCTTATTGAATCTAATGTTTAAATAATAGATGAAGATTCACATTGTATAAGAGAAAAAAATCTGCTATTATATTCATGTAAACTGTGCTACACTAAGAATCTTTGAAAAAAACTAACGGCTAAAATTGATTAATGTGACGATCTTTTTCAATTCTACTCATTACAAATTTTTTAAAGCTCGTTTTATGAAACAAACTATTGGATTTATTAGAAAAAATCTAACATGGTCAAAAATGAACTCTATTCACTTGTTCATTTCTTAGACAATTCTACGATATATTTTTATTTATTTTTGTCAGATTGAATCTTTTCAATTTAATATTAATAGAAACTTTTCAAAATAGTTTTTCATCTATAATTATTTAATCTGTTTACATAAATAATATGTTATTATGTAAGAATCTTTCGCAACAAAAACTTCATTTTGTTTCTTATGTTTCATACATAAAAATTTAGTAGAGAAAAATGGCTAATTCAATTTGTTTTGCTTATTATAACTTGATTAATATTTTGTATGAACGAACAGGATTAGTCTTTGAGCATATCATCTTTTTCAAAATTCCCAATATAACAAAGGTTATTTAAGATACTTTTCGATATAAAATGTTGAACTTCATTGTGTCTACTTAATTATACGATTTGATTTTAAAATAAAATAAAGTGATTAATTGAAATACAATTGAAAATAATTGTCAATTTAATTTAGCTCACTTATTATTTTGAAAAGAATGAAGGTATCAATTTGCATTCGAATCTATTTTCGAGTCAGTTCCGATAGAATAATTATATATCTTAAAACAAAACATTTTATATTGATTATTTTAATAGACTATAACAAGATAGTTTCAACAAATAGAAAATGAAATTTTAATAAATTAATTGTAGAATTGCAAGTTTAGACAAATAAAAACTGCACAAAGTAAATAACTATGTATGTTTTTTTTTAATCATTATATTTCCTTTGATATTCTCAATTGACATTAAAAAAATAAACGATAAACGAGTTTGAATAATAAATTAGTATAGTTGATATTGACTATTTTATAATCGTATTTTGTAATCATTTATGAAATTTACTTAGCATGATTGTCAATCGTAGCATTAACAAAGATCTGTACTCTAAAGATAAAATCCGATAGAAGAAAAGATAAAACTATTACTATTTAATCTTGACAATTATTACAAATCGATTATTATTTTGTTCTTGTCATCGGATTCATTGATACTCTCATGTTTTATTATATTAATCTTATCTTTGTTTTCACATTCTCATTGCAAATATGCTACTCAAGAGATTAAATTCTAAATATCTATCAATTTACAAGAGAAAATCTGTGGATTTTAATGTCTGATGGTGTTCGTCTGTCAGCTTCACTCTCTATTCCTATACCGAAACATAATTATGAAAAATTTCCCATTTTATTTGAATATAAACCTTATAGAAAAGATGATAATTTATTCAATTTTGATCAACCAAATATATTCTATCTAACACGACGAGGTTTCATTGTAAACTAATTATTATTCGAAATATCAAACATGTCTTTTCAGTTTTTTTTTCTTCTAGGTAACTAAAGTTGATATTCGTGATACAGGTTCATCAAAAGGTTTTCTTATTGAACGTGAATATACGATAGAAGAATTGAATCATTGTGAACATGTTATTCAACAATTAGCTAAGTATCCTTGTTGAAATAGTCGTGTAGGAATGTATGGTTTGAGTTGGTCTGAATTTAATTCTCTAATGATGGCTACATTCAGACGACCAACTGCTCTTCAACCTGTTTTTTTAGCACATGCTTCTCATGATTTCTATAAAAACGATATTCATTATCCAGATGATATTGTGCATCTTAACCATTACATTGTTTCAATTGATCAAACAAATGCATTATCAGCTACAACTGATTATCTTATCAATCAAAAATGGATTAAACAATGATTTACAACAAGACCTTGGTCTGATATTTATCTTGAACATCAATTCGATGATTCATTTTGGAGAAAACATTCAATTAAATATGCCTATTATAATCTTACTCTACCCGTTTATTTAATCGGAGGACTCTATCATCCGTTAGTTTCATAAATAAAACATATTTTTATTTCTATTGATCAACATTTTCTAGGTACAAAGACGTTCCTATTAATATATATGAACATGCAAGGCATACTATCACCCAAGATAAAAATCGTTATTGGTCCATTTGTTCATGCTATGCCTGAAAATATAAATCGTAATCTGGGCCCTAGATTTGATAGCATGGATGAAATGATTCGATGGTTTAATTATTGGCTAAAAGATAACAATAGAAATAATGATATTTTAAATCAACCTGATATAACATTGTTCATTCGTAGAAATCTTACAACGGGTAACTATCGATATGAGCCCCAATGGACAATTTCTCGACAAAGGATAAAACGTATGTACATGAACAAAGGTCAAATTTTGAGTGAACAAGGAATTTCAACTGTAGAAGAAAAATGTGTAAACAACAAGGTGGATACACTTGAATATCGATCATGGATTGGTTTTGAAGGTGGTCGCTGGTTAGATGGATTGACAGGAGATCAGCGAATTCTTGACGAAAATTGTCTTGTCTATCAGACTGATCCTATTCAAGAAACAATTAAAATTATTGATTTTGTCAATGTATCCCTTCAGGTATTAATCGAATTATCCTCTACTAGCTCTTACTATATTATCGATGCTCACGGAAGGAGAATGAGTGAGAGAAATAAAAATTGCTGTGCTATAGAACTTGAAGAAGATTTCAAATTCTTGGTAATTTTTGTTTTTTTCAGTGCAGTAAAATGTACTTGAAAAAAAAAGGATGATGTTATGTCTTTTCTTCCAACTTGGAAATACTATTGTTTAATTGAAATTCAGTCTCTTTATCTTTTCTATGAATACAGGTCAGTGCTACTGCTTCATTAGCTGATTGGATTCTACGATTATTAGATGTGGATATTGATGGTCGAGTATTGATTGTAACAACAGGTGCAATAAATGGAGCTCAACGAGAAATATTACCTTTAAATCTCGAACCGAATCATCCATATATAATAACTATTCGACTTCATTTTACGACATGGAGTTATTTTATTGATCATCACATTCGTCTTGCTATATGAAATAGTATGTTTTCAACTTATTGTTCATCTCCATTTTCCATGAATACATTACTCTTTCTTTAATCATCAACGAGTTTTATTGAGTTACCCATTATTCCTACCATATAATCAAGATCATCACGATCATTGTTCACTCAACAACAAGTTCCATTTGATGATACTCTTTCAGAATCATTCTCAGGAGGTAAACCAAGAATATATTGAAAGCATGAAACAAATTTGTCTACAATAATTATTTTTCAACGACTTACCTACGAATATATTCATATAAATTCTACTTGCTTGAAATTTTACTTGTTCACATTTGTATCCTGATTATGTCAAATTGAAAGCATAGGCACGACAATTCTATCTCTATGATATGAATGATTATGCATCAATTAATGATATATCTATTATAGATTATGATAAAAGACTTTATCCAAATGTTGATCTATCGAAAATACATCATTTTGAAATCGATGTCAACTTAACTGTTTATTCTGGTAAAGAATTTTTTAATATTTATTTTTATTCGTCAACTTTTTAGATAAAGTAGAATGACAGATCAATTTTCGATGATCTTTACATTCAATAGCAAATACAAAAGAGAATTTTAATAGAAAAAAAACTATTTTTTCAATAAATATTATAAATTAATCCTTTTCAAAACTATTAGATTTTTAACTAGAAAATTTTTTATGTAAAATTGCTCAATCTATTTTTCAAATGTTCATACGAATTTATCAATCAACATTCGATTTTATTTAAATTTTATAATTATCAACAAAGTCGATATACCTATCAACTTTTCATTTTTCAATTAGAAATTCATGAATATTGAATTTTATTTTAAAATTTCAAAATTTCCTAAAATATAGAAAATCTTATCCAATTTTCTATGTTAAAGAGCAACATCTTCCTATTGATTACAAATATTTTATCTACAACTTTAATACTTAGAAATCATATCAAACGATATACATTAACAAAAAAAAACTAAAGATTGACTAATTACTAATTATATTTTTAAATCATTAAAGAAGAAAATCCAAAATGAGCCTTTTTATAAAAACAAATATTCGAATAAAAAATAAATTCTGATTAGAAATATCTCTATTGTTAATTAATAAGATTGATCACATTAACACTCTGACATATCCAAACTAACATATAATAAATCTGATCCACTTTTGATATGTCCGATGATCAAGATATTCCAATATCAAGGCAGTTAAAATATAGAAATATATTATAGAAAACTATTCATATTGAGATTTTCTTCTCTAATAAAATCATTTTTTATATAGTGAATATAAAAGATTATTGGTTAGATGTTCTACAAAATAAATACAAGATTAGTTTTGATATATTCTCAAATTTAGTTAATATATTAATGTAAATAGAAGAGCATCTCTTTATTTAACTAATCAATTATCAATAGTTTAGATTTTATTTGAATTGAAAGTAATAGAATCTACACTATCATAGTTTTATAATTGACTATCAATAGAGATCAATAATTTCAATAATATTATAATTATAAAGAGATTTTTCTATCAACCGAATATTCAAACTGTTTTCGCTATTGAAATTTACTAATTTTCTAGATCATCTAAAAATGTCTATCTAGAAGGATTATTCTCATATTTTAAATAGGTTCAACAACAAGATTTATATTTTTCTTCTTTCTGCTCTCTTTAGAAGGTCTAGAAGAAAATATTTGAAACAGTTTATGGAATAATATTTAAAGCTACTTTATCATCTATTGAATTTCTAAATAGAAAACAATTTATCTTTCTAGTAAATCAATTAAATTGAGTTTATTTGAAAATGAATAGTATTTATCAGATCGAACAATAAAGAATAATTTTTCAAATCTAATCAATTACTTTTCATCAGGCTTGAGATACTAATGCCAAATTTATTAATTAACTGTGGATCATAGAGAAAGTTTATTATACTAATCAAATTATGATATAAATCGAGATCTCTGACTTTAGCTCAAGAAATATTTAATATTCAATCTAGAAATTAGTACATTTGATGTGCCTCACAATTTTTAGTTTTCATCATCAAGAAGAATCTTAATCCATCTTTAAGTTTTATTCAACAGACTTTGATATAGAACTGTCATATCCCATTCATTCGATATATCAGCAAATCTATTATTTCTATGTTTTATTTGTTGTTGAGAGAGAATATTGTTGATAGTGAAGTATACATAATGTAGATATTGAAATTAACTCAAATATTATTCGATGTAATCTAATGAAAATTTTCCATAGTGAATGAGTCGATGAAAAAATCTATTGTTAGAATAATTATTGATTATATTGATTAAACTTTAAAAAGTAAATATTATTTAGTCATATTGATCATTTTAAATCAAATGTAATTTGACCAGTCTCGTCAATGGAGTTTTCTATGTTGATAGAGCATTAAATTGAAAAAAACGTTTCTCAATTCAATATAGAAACTCATCATGTAATCAATATGAAGATTGGCCTACTAAGTCCCAATCGATAGAAGTAACGACAGTTCGGTCATCTGAGGTGCCTCTCCTACTGTTTAAATCCTAGTTACACTAATAAGAGAAACATTCCCATAACCGTTGCTACAAAATTATGATAGATCCTATCTTCAATGTACATTTATTTAGTATAAAATTTCTTGTTGATTCTATTGGAAATGAAAGCGTCACTCTGTCAACTTGAAAAAATATTTTTACACATCTTGTAATTTTGATAAGTTTGTAATTATTCTAGTAACATTCGATATTTTTCATAATAAATGAATATATGAAATAAAACAGTAAGATGAAATTAAAATGCGTCTAATTACTAATGTAGAAGAGAATCATTTACAAAAGATTGATAAAAAAAAAATGAATAATATTGTCTTTATATTTATTTAAATTGCTTTTTGATTTAATCTTTTTTGACAGATTTTCTCATAAGAGAAATTTCTAAATCATCTCGCATAGAAGGATCAAGTTTTAATAATTGAATTGAAAATGGTAATCGTTGACCAGTATCAATATAACCACGACGAGTATAATAGGCAATTAATTCAGGTCGTTGAATAATTGAATATAATTGAATATATTCAACATTCCAATTGTTTATAGCATTATTTTCAGCAATGGATAAGATTTTTTTTCCATAACCTCTTCCTTGCAAATCTGGACGTACAGCAAACATACCTATTTCGGCAGTTTTACTCTCTTCTTTATGTTGTAAATTAATACATCCTGTTAAAATTTGATCAATCTCACTAAAAAATAGTAAAAATATGTATTTATTACTATTAATCATATTAAATAATTGATTGGGATTTGTTCTTGGTATAGAAATTAATGCATCTTCATTAGTCCAACCTTGATATGATAATTGACCACGATAAGCACTATTTATTAAATTAGATAATGAATGACAATCATCTATTTTAGCAAGACGATAGACCAATGAATTCGAACTTTCTTTTCTATTATCAGAATCAACTGATATTATGTTTGTCTTCTCAATTGAACTCATTTAGACGAATATATAGACTTTAACACATTTTATTTCTAATCAAATAATAAATTTGACACTGAATGAAAATATCTAAAATAGAAATTCTTATTGGTAATTAACTAGATCACTATTCACATTTATATTTTAAAGATTAGTTAGATCTTAATATTATTTCGCAGCTCTTTCTTCATCGATTTTACCTGTGTATAACTAATGAAACACATCTTACATTTTTTTATCTTATCAGACTTTTAAAATATAAATGATAAGAGGAGAAAAACGAATCGTCATTATAATAAAACAAAACACATAACGACATATGTCAAATTTTCTTATTATCTAAGATAATTCTATTGAGAAGGATAAAACTAAATTTGAATTATTTATTATTAAATAGAGTCGTTCATTATAGGATAAATATATCTGAAAATAATATTTCTATAACAATTAAAAAGAATATTATTATGAATTGTGTCAATTTACTCTAAATCTTTATGTCTTGTTGACTCTTTCTCAGTATTACGATCATTTTCACCTTCGAGTGATTATATTCAACCTTGAATATTTTTATTAATATTCTACTTTTCAATTAAGACCAATCTTAAACACGATTCCTTTCTATTTCCATGTATTTTTAAAATAATTGTGATTGAAGATCGGATGATAGTTCTCCATCTATCAGTCAATATGACAATCAGAACTAAGAACTCAACTCATTAGATATATTAGATTTTCACCAGATATTTAAACAAGATTGAATCAGTTGAAAATAGATTTTCAATAATAAATAAATCTATATTACATTATATATATAATAAGAATGAATCATCATTTTTAACTTGATTACCTTTTTTAGAGATTTTTCTCAGATATTTTCCAAAATTGATATTGTTGTCATATTCAACCGGGGATTTTTAGATGAGTGATACGGTTTACTATACCTTGAAGATTTATGTTTACAGATAACACTTTATCATAAATGATCAACTATTGGAAAATTATTAAAATATTCAAAGATAGAAAAGAATTATATTTATTTTGTTTTTATCGAATTTATTCAAACTCGTTTATATTAAAGGTAAACTATATAATGAAAAGGCATTATTTTTATAGTCGATTCAACTTGCAATATTCTAAAAGACTAAGAATAAATCAGTTAATGTCTATCATTATTTTATTATTCGAAATTTGAATCTATAGATTTAATCATATTATCAAGAATTAATTTTAAGATCAGATATATTTTACAATAAATCATTTAATATATAACTAGTCAAAAATACATTTCAACTTTATTCAAGTTCAAATCTTTCTTTTTATTTCGAACTTTCGGTGTGCACTCGAACCATTGCATCAGAAAAAAATAAAAACAAAAGAAAAGCATGTGTATGTATGAGAGAGAGAGAGAACTACTACATACTGGGTGTCACAAAAGTCATCATCACTTAACAAATTTGTATAACTCTCATTATTAATAAAGGTTTATCTATATAATAATTTTATTTTTATTTGATAGAAAAGAGTAGAAAGTTTTTTTTTTTTGATAAAGACAAGATTCATAAATATTGTTGAAAAATATTGCCTTTGATATCAATAGAAAAATTTCATGTTTTACAATTTCTGAAAAAAACTGATATTAGCTTCCTTTATTTTTTATTTTTCAATTTCTTTCGATATTATAGTTCTTAAATGATCTAAACCTTGTATTGCTGTTCTGTAGGCATTTGTTTTAAGATGCTCTCATTGAAAGCAGTCTAATGGTGTTAAGTTTGGTGATCGTGGAGGTGATAATATTAGTCCGCTTCTTCCAATCTCCATATTATTTAAGACTTTGTTTAGTTGAGAACGGACAGATTGTAAAAAAGATGCCGTTGACTCTATCTTTCCGATAAGTGATATTTATTGTCATTGCTTGTTTCAAAGAAGCCACCTTTTCACTCAAACTAATCGAAACTGATAAATATCTAATAAAGGTTTAAAAATATCTTCGGAAAGAGCATGTCTGTCAACATCATTGGACTTCTTTCAATGAGAACATCTTTAAGCAAATGTCTACAGAACAGCAATACAAGGTTTAGATCATTTAAGAACTATAATATCGAAAGAAATTGAAAAATAAAAAATAAAGGAAGCTAATATCAGTTTTATTCAGAAATTGTAAAACATGAAAATTTTTGTATTGATATCAAAGGCAATATTTTTCAACAATATCTATGAGCCTTGTCTTTATCAAAAAAAAAACTTTCTACTCTTCTCTACAAAACAAAAACAAAATTATTAGATAAACCTTTATTAATAATGAAAGTTGTACGCATTTTTAAAGTGATGATGACTTTTAGGACACCCGACATCTGTTGGGAGTATTTATCATTATTTGTCAGTCGTATAGGTGCCTAACTGTCTGATAATAATTGCCTAAAATGAATATATATATTGTAATTGAAAAGTTTTTTTTTTCTAGTTGTTATTATGATAAAGGCAAGAAGAGAGAAGATGTCAACGGTTATCAATAGTAAAGATTGAAGATAAATAATACTATCTTGATATTACTGTGCTTGGGTTATACTAGGAAAGTTTTTCGATGATTACTTTATTAGAATATATTTCAAGTGTATTTATGTCAACTGTCGACAACTGAGATTGGTTGTTTTCTTTTTAAAACAAGAGAGAGAGATATGATACAATAAAGAATGAGAGATATTATTGATTATTTTCGTAGATAAACTTCTGCTATTATCAAGTTGAAAAAGAATGAATATAGCGATAATTGAGAACAACAAAGTTTTATTGATAAAGAGAAAAAGAATTGAAATTCATAAGTAAAACTATATATTGACAATCAATAATACTGAAGATAATCGTAGAAAATACTTTGATCAGCAGCTACATTCAATATAAAATTCAATATTTGTCTGCTCATAAATCATACACTCAATAGAACATAAATTATATCTACTGTTCATAATCGGATAAAAACACATCTGTTCAGTTAATTATAGGTGTTCATATTTTATCAATAAATCGTTCATTTGAAGAGATGACATCCATGGCACTAACTCGTCTCATCGTTCTGATATATATTCGTGTTTTTGATGTGTCTTCAAATGGTATCCAAATAGTTGGTGTCTTCCCAAAGGCAGATCAGCTTGTATCTGATGGTATTGAATCGCATAACACTATTCAATGGTCAATTCAAGCAATGGATATGTTTCGCACAGCTATCTTGCTTTCTCATAAATATGGAATTAATGTTGATGGTTATCCTATTAACTATAGTATTATCGAAACAGTGACTGATATTAATGGATTTTCTGCGCTTCATCTTATATGTGAGCATATTAGTGATCCTAGAAAGGCAAGCATTGTAGGCATTGTGGGACCAGCTACTTCTAATGATGTTCGATTTCTGGCTCCATTCGCCGCTCAAATTGGTTTACCATTCGTTTCATATGGTGCAACCAATGATGATCTTTCCGATAGTCGACTATATCCAACTTTTTATCGTACTGTACCATCAGATAGTTTTCTTGTTGAAGCGATTGTTGAACTTTTCGAACAATTTTCATGGAAAACATGTATAATAATTTGTGAAAAAAGTGATTATGGTTACGGTGGATTGAAATTAATATCTGAACACCATAATAGAAGACTATGCATTAAAGACCAATTGACATTTGATACACGTTCAAATAGATTTAATGTTGATTTAAAAGAAAAATTAAAAATGAGTCGATCACGTATTGTACTCGTTTGGGCAAATCAGAGTACATCGACGGTAATCATTCAACATGCTCTTAAAGCAGATCTCGTCGGTGGCTCATTTGTATGGGTGACGACCAATCAGGTAATGCATATCTTCTTTTTAAGATCGAAATAAGAAAAACAAATCTCACTTTTAATCATTGATGGATTTTCTTCAATTTCGATTTCAATATATTCAATTTATTCTCCTATTTTTTGTGTATTAATCTGTAGAAGAGTTTCGAGACCTTTCGTCAAAATAATAAGACTATTTATAAATGATGTATTGATTTTATCATTAACAGGTGATATTGACCGAATTCAATGGAACTGATCGTCAGAAACTGATAGGTCTTCTCACAGTAATGCCAATACACGGTAGTGATCTCGCAGAAGGTGTTAATCAAACACTTCTTAACGATGCTCTTGCTATCTGGCGCAATTCAACAGATTACAAAAGCAGTTATCCAGCTAATTTGACTGGCATCAGTTCATTTGCTATGTTTACTTTTGATGCTGCATGGATATTGATTGAAGCGCTCAACAAATTATCATCGGACGATAGTCCTTCACTTGTTACCACACCATTTTGCTTCAACAGTTCATTAATGAACAGTAATAATTATCATAAAAATCTTGAAGAAATCTATTTCTCTGGTGTTTCGGGTATTGTCCAATTTGCGAAAAATGTTTCAAATAATCGTATTGGTTCCACTTATTATGTACTCTATAATGTACAACCAACGAGAATCACTTCAACCAATCTCAAATATAGAAAAGTGTTGAAATGGTCTGGAACAGGAGAGAAATGGAAGAATTTTAATCATTCTCAAACGATTGGTATCATTTGGCCTCAGAATTCCAATGAAATACCACGTGATTATCTACTAATTGGAGGTAAAACAAATTGATAAAAAAGGAAATGATAAGAAGGATTGACCTGGTTTCTTGTAAATGTCAAAGTCTTTTTTTTTCACAAAAATGATTAGCATTAATCTAATTTAAGAATTCTATAAAGAAAGATTCTCTTTTTTTCTTGTATAGGTCAAACATTGCGTATTCTGATCATTGAATCGGCTCCATTCTTCATGGTTTATAATAGCTCATTTCCGAGAACATCTCTCGACGTACTAAACAAAAATAAAGAATTGATCAATCGATCAAATACATTGAATACTATCGATTCGAATGTAACTGTTTATGGTTTTTTGGCTGATGTGATAGATGAACTAAAGGAAAGAATGCATTTTAATTATAGTATTCATGTAGTTCCACGAGGTACACCTTATCATAAATTAGTCAGTATGGTAGCTGAAAATAATAGTCAATGGGATATTAGTATATCAGATACTCGAATCACTACCAATCGTCTAGATAGTGTTGACTTTTCAGTGCCAATTCATGAGAATACAATTCGTGTTATTATTCGTGATAATTCATATTCGTCGGCTTTCAGTCTCTTTTCATTTCTTAGTCCATTCACATGGGATGTCTGGCTCGTTCTTGCCGCACTGATCATCTATTCAGGTGTTCTTCTTTATTATTTTGAACAAAAGAGTAATACCAATGAAATTAATCAAACGAAGAACTTTCGAGTTACTATTATTGAACTATGTCAAATGTTGAGTAATCTTATGAGTTTTGATCATGGTTTTCATTTGACTCGAATGTCTAGTCGAATAATAATAATTGGTCTAAATGCATTGGGCACGATTATTGTGGCTATTTACACGGCTAATCTATCTTCATTTCTCACATTGAGACGAACTCAACCTTTGATTTCAGGTATTGACGATATTAAAAATGGTCGATTACCATTTTCGAGAATTGGTATTCTAACAAATTCTGCTACTGCCGATTATTATGTTCAAAATATATCGTCAATCTATTTTCCTCTATCAACTAGTGACGAAATCTTTGCACGATTGCTTGACAATAGTATTGATGCCGCTTTATGGGGTTCGTCTGTACTCGAATATACTACTGCGAATTATTTTTGTCAACAATTAACTGTAGTTGGTGTTGGAGCACTCAAATCATCCATTGGCATTGTTATGCATAAAGATTGGGAATACAAAGACACTTTAAACCGGAACATTCAAACGATGCGTGATTCAGGAATTTTAGAACAACTCGAGAAAAAATGGTTTGGACAACATAAATGTTTCGATTCATCAAAATCATTATATGGAAAAGATGAAACAGGTGGAAAACATGAAAATGATAAATTTTCACTTGATATGATGGGTGGATTATTTATTACATTTATATTTTTATCTATCATAGCACTTTTCTTACATTTCTACCATGTTCGAATTACTATCGTCGCTTCAATTCGATTATATATTAAACGAATGAAAATATTTTTTCGAAAAATCATCACTTTTGATTAGACTTTCGTGAACTTTATGCTGTGAAAAAGAGATTCAAAAATAAAAAACTGTTGAAATGTCAAAGACGAATATATTTTCAAGTTTCGAATGTCTTCAAGTAAAAACTGAAAAAAATTTTTTTTTTTTTTTTTTTTTGCAACATCATTCAAAGTCTGACAAATTTGTTTGTAGAAATAAAACGAATAAATAGTTATCTATTTTTACTAACGAATATTTTCAACTGATTTAAACTTTTCAAGTCAAATTTCCTCTTGAAATAAATTAAATCAAATCTCATATCACATTGACACAAGTTACCATCTAGTTAATATAGAGATTTTTTTTTTTTCTTTTTATTAAAATTTATTTGTTGATCAATACTTGACTAAATTATATGTCAACGAATATCTTCTATTAGGTTTTTTTAATTTTCACCTGGAAACATATTCTTAAAAAAAAACAAAGATTTATTGAGAAGATATTTTTTGTTTAGTGACATTTTATTATAAAAATCTTGTTAAATAAATAATATCTTATTGATCTCAAGATAATTTAATAAAATTCGAATCGATGAAGATCTTCGTCTTGTTATTGTTAAATTAATGTTCGAACATCGTTTAACAGATAGATTTATATAAACTAATATTGAAACAATAAATACGATCAATATAATTAATAAAAATATTTTTATCTTTAATTAAGATTTATTATAATAAAGAAATTTTTTAAAATCAAATCTAACTTTGAATAATTCTAATATCAATTGATCTTTGATTTTATTTATATTATTAATTATTATAATAATATATTAATCATCAATATTCACAAAAATTATTTAATAGAGAATTTTATTTTTCTCCAAATAATCAATCTTCAACAATAAATAATCGTGGAGCAAGAATTTTACCTTAACATGTATTTTCATATAATATATTATCAAACAATTACAAATACTATTTACATTTTTAAATAATTTTATTATTTTCAACTCTCATTCTTCACTTAAACTCTATTCGTCAACGAAGATTAAAATAGGATCTATTTATCAGTACATTTTCGGATTATACCCGAAAAACTATCGGCAAATTCTTACCTCTATAGAATGATCGTTTCACAATATAGTTATTAAATCATCCTCAAACAATACCACATTTGGTAAATCGGAATTTTTCGTAAATTTTATTTTACCTGTGTTTGAGAGAGAATATCATCTGATAGAGTCTTATAGAGACATTTAACAGAAAAATTCTTATTAATGCCCTGCGAAGCAGGAGCATTTATGTAGTCCTTCGCGAGTTTTTTTTTTTTTAATGCGGTGCGAAGCACAGCATTTATGTAGTCGTACGCGAGTTTTTTTTTAATGCGGTGCGAAGCACAGCATTTATGTAGTTCTTCGCGAGTTTTTTTTTTTTTTTACTTTTTTATTTTACTTTCTCGACGTACGCATAAAAGTTGTCATTTTCTGTTCGAATGATCTCGAGAACGGAAAGTCAGAAAATATTGGTTCAAACGCGAGGCCCGAGTATCGAGATTGAACTAATACCATTTTTAGTCGAACCGTCTATAGAACCAATAGTTCGTCTACAATCGGAGCTCCAAAAACGCAATTTTGACAGAGTTTATCTTTGAGATAATTAAAACGAAAATTGAAAAACAATGTTAGGCGCCAATTTCTTTAGTCATATATCAAACAGCTGTGAATACAGCTGAAAGTAGATAATGAATCATTGAGATAATTAATCGATCAATAAACAGCGAGTTCGAAAAATCTGTTAATACGCCTTGATAGAGTTCATCTAGTGATGAATTTTAGAATAGCTGCTTTTTATGTTGCACCTAAATTAGATGAGTTGTTTAATAAAAATATTTCATTGTCGATTCCAAAAATGATCCAGAAACATTTTCAATTGTCGCAGAAGTTAGACTTCACAAGACAAGAGCGAATTACGACAGTTATTTAGAGCGATTATTCGTATTCGATTCGAAACTCGTTTTCTCGATCCTCTCGATTCCTGCTTCGCACCGCATTTCGTATTCGAGTCGAAACTCGAATACCATCTAGTTTTTAATGCGGTGCGAAGCACAGCATTTATGTAGTCCTTCGCGAGTTTTTTTCTTTTTTTCTTTTTTTCCTACTTACTTGACGTACGCATCAAAAGTAGTCATTTTGTGCCGCGATGATCTCGAGAACCAAAATTCTGAGAAACATCGTTCAAACGCAAAGTCCAAGTATCGAGACCGAACTGCTAAACTCTTTGGAGTTCATCGTGAGATCACCTTCGGTTTTCTCAGAAATAGCTTCCGAAAATGACGAATTTAACACGACTTTAAGCTTTATTCATTTCGAGATAATTAAAACAACAAAAGATAGGCGCCACTCTCTTAGCTTATTTGTGAAACAGCTGTAAACGCAGCTGATAGTAGATAAGAAATCATTGAGATAATTAATCGATCAATGAAGAACGATTTCTAAAAGTGTGTTGATACGCTTTGGTAGAGCTCACTTAGTGATGAATATTAGAATGGCTGCTTTTTATGCCTGATCTAAGTTAGATCAGCTGGTTGAAAAAAGTCTAACTTCTTCGATGCAAAAAACCATGTAAAGATGATTTCTGAATTCGATAGCACTTAGTCATCAGAATGCGAGAATGAATTACGGCGGATATTCATAGCGATTATTCGTCTTCGATTCGAAACTCGTTCTTTCGATTCTCGAGATTTGTGCTTCGCACCGCATTTCGTATTCGAGTCAAAACTCGAATACCATCTAGTTTTTTCTTTCTTTTATACTATACGTACGCATCAAAAATTGTCGTTTTGTGGCTCTATGATCTCATGAACAAAAAGTCGTAAAATAGTCGTTGAAACGGGAGCTTGAAGAGTCGAGATCGAATTCGTACCATTTTTAGCCGAATCATCTATAGAATCCATAGTTCGTCTACAATCGAAGCTCCAAAAACATAATTTTGACGGAGTTTACTTTAGAGATAATTCAAACGAAAATTCAAAAAAAAAGTTAGGCGCCAATTTGTTCAGTCATATATCAAACAGCTGTAAATACAGCTGATAGTAGATAATGAATCACTGACATAATTAATTGATCAATACAAAACAATTTGTAGAAATCGGTCGATACGCTTTCATAGAGTTTCTGAAGTGATGAATTTCATAATGGACGCGTTCATTTCAGATCTAGATGAGATCAGCTGTTTGATAAAGATGTTTGATTAAAACATCCTTGGTTATCTTAGAACCTTTTACGTAGATTGTGAGAACTAACTCCGATGATATGTAGAGAAATGATTCGATTTCGATTCGAAATTCGTTATTCCGATTCTCGGCGCCCGTATTCGAGTCGAAACTCGAATACCATCTAGTTCTTTTACTTACTTGACGTACGCATAAAAGTGGTCATTTTCTGTTCGAATAATCTCGAGAACGGAAACTCACACAATGCTCGTTCAAAAGCGAAATGCAAATATCGAGATCCAACTGGTACCATTTTTAGTCGAATTTGTTATAGAGCCAGTAGTTCGTCTACAATCGGAGCTCCAAAAACACGGTTTTGACGAAGTTTTCTTTAGAGATAATTAAAACGAAAATTCAAAAAAAATTTAGGCGCCAATTTCTTTAGTCATATATCAAACAGCTGTGAATACAGCTGATCATAGATAATGAATCATTGAGATAATTAATCGATCAATAAACAGCGAGTTCGAAAAATCTGTCAATACACTTTGATAGAGCTCCTGTCGTGATGAATTTTAGAATGGCTCCTTCTTATGTTGCATCTAAATCAGATCAGTTGTTTGATAAAAATCTTTCTTTGTCGATTAGATTGTGAGAACTAAATCCGATGATATGTAGAGAAATGATTCGATTTCGATTCGAAATTCGTTATTCCGATTCTCGGCGCGTGTGCTTCGGACCGCATTTCGTATTCGAGTCGGAACTCGAATACCATCTAGTTTTATTTTACTTTCTCGACGTACGCAAAAAAATCGTCATTTTCTGTTCGAATGATCTCGAGAAGGGAAAGTCAGAAAATACTCGTTGAAACGCGAAGTGCAAGTATCAAGATCGAACTCATACCTGTTTTTGTCAGATGATCGATAGAACCTATACTTCGTCTATAATCCAAGCTCCAAAATCACGATTTTGACAAAGTTCACTTTTGAGATAATTAAAATGAAAATTCAAAAGAAAAGTTAGGCGCTAATTTCATTAGCTATATATCAAACAGCTGCAAATTACAGCTGATAGTAGATAATGAATCACTGAGATAATTAATTGATCAATAGGAAACAACTCATAGAAATCTATCGATACGTTTTCGTAGAGTTTCTGTAGTGATGAATTTTATAATGGACGGCTTTCATTCCATGTTCAGATGAGATCATCTGTTTGATGAAGATGAAGAAATGTATCTATCTAACAGAGTCAGTAGCTAATTTAAATCAAAATAGCGATCAATATAGTTTAGAAAATCGAAGTCTCGTTTTTTGACAAATATCGTTTTTTCGAAAATTCGAAAGATTCGTGCTTCGCAGGGCATTTCGTATTCGAAGCGAAGCTCGAATACCATCTAGTTTTTATCTTAAACGACTAATGATAACAAGTCAACTAGCGCACAAAAATCTTTAAAACAAAAGCAACTTTTAAGAGTTTTTAGCACTATTGAACTTGTTACTGTTAGTCTCCAAGAATAAAGTAAAAACTTCAAAAAACATCTCAATTAAGCCTTAGAGGTTGACATCCTATTACCAACAATAGGATAATCAAACTAAAACGTGCTTCTTTTTTGTTAGACTTGTTTGATGAATATAAAATGAAAAGATTATCCTATAGGAGTGATTTATTGATAATAGTTTCTCTCCTAGAGTTCAAACATATATTGAAAGTGTTATGCTATTTCAATTATTGAGGAATAATCAGATGAATAAAAGAGGTTTATCTTTACAATTGAACTTTAATTATATATTATTGAGGATTATTTCAATGATTATATATTAATTAATAAAGATAACAATTCTTAGTTAGATTTTTAATAAATAATTGATATAATTAAACAAATAAATTGATTATGATTAACTGGTTGATCATCATAATCAATATAATTAATAAATATTCTCAAAAGATGAATTATATTTATTGATTTTTATGGAAATAAATAAAGTAGAAGTTTTATATAATGAATATGATAAATAAAGTAAATTTATTTTAGAATTATTTTATCTAATCATTATTCAATATGAATCAACATATTTCAAACATTTATTATAATGACATAATATAAATACTATTATCAGATTTATTAGAAATATTATTCTTAGAATTAATTTTACTAGTTTTTATTATAAAAAATAATAAGTAAATGTGGAATGTTGAAAATCAATCTTATCTTTTTTCTTTTTTCCTCGATTATTTATCAAAAATAGTAAACATTCTTTTCTTCCAAATCATTATTATTATTAGAAGATTTTTTAAGAAATAAAACCGAGGTTAATTCTCATTTCAAATAAACGAAATTCAACTTTTATCAAATGTTTTTCTATGCGTCAGTTAATAATTACATAAACAAATCTCTAATTCAAACTTTATCGAAGAGAAATTTCTATTATAGTTGACAATAATCCATTATATGGAAATTATCTTTTAATTAAACCATTTAACGAACATTATTTTCACTTTTCTCTTGCTAAATTATACCAATACTCACATTCTATCGATAATCGAAATAAACAAACCTCCCTACTCTCATTTTCTTTGTTAACTTCCTCCTATTAATTATAAATTGATTAAAAAAAAAATAAACGAATATCCAATAGTGAGAAAAAAAGCGATAAATTTAAATGTAAGATAATATGTAAACTGATGATAAGACACTCTATTATAATAAAAGTTTAACAACTATTTTCAAAGGACTTATCAAATTAATCTTATTATCAATAGATAATATTTATTATTTTTATATAAACAAAGATAATTATTGATTATTTATCTTTAAATAAAAAGATAAATAGATGAAAATAAAGTCGAATTAAATAGAAAAGGTAAATATAGATGATATATATCTATGTGATAATAAGACATTGATTCGGATTGTGAATGAATAATTATTAGAAAGAATATTTTCTTTTCTAATGTTTATTATCTTATTTTAGAATTAAACAATCAGATAAATGAAAAACAAGCAATTCTATTCTATGAGATAAATTCTAATAAATCTGTTAAGTTTTGTTTAATTTATAGAAATATGTTTGTTATAAGAGAGAGAAGAATGATAAATGGTCTTGTTCTATATGATATGCATGTAAATATGTCGATAAGATATATTAATGACGTGATATCGATCATATTTTGTTATTTGAAAGATTCATTTGGTTGTTTATTTTAAATGGAAAAAGAAGAAAAAAAAGAAGAAGAATATGTATCAGAAATTCTACTTGAATTACAACCAAGGTTTTTTTCTTTTTTTATTTATAATATAATAAAAAAAAAGAGTAAAAAAAGCAAATATTTGTTATTGTAGATCTCGTCGAGGTTATCGTCGTTTATTTGGAATTCGTGAAAATAAATTTTTAAATAAAGAATCATTTGATAGAATTGCTTTTACAAAAATCTTTCTTAACAAATATAATAAAAAAGTTGTTAAACGAGGAGAACATGTATGAATATGATTTAACATATTAATTATTTCAAATTTTTTTACTTTATTATTAGATAATATGCGACAATTTAATTATTGGAGTTAAACAAATAAAACGTAATATTCATTTATTTAATAAATATTATTTTAATTATATTTTATATATTAAAAAAAAAGCAGGCGCTTCATCAACATATTCAGGAAATACTCGCGTAGAATTTCTGATAAAAGGTCTTCCATTTGGGTATGATTCTATATTTAAAGAATATATTTTAGTTTATTTATTATCTTTCTATTAAATAGAAATGAAGAAAAAGGTCAACTTGATAACAAAATAATGGATAATAAACGATGTTTAAATGAATATTTTATCAGTGATCTTCTTACTGTAAGTATTTTCAATAATTTATTTAAATATCTCTTTACAGTTTTTTTTTCTTATCCGATTTAATTCAAGATTAAAATAGATTTTTATTTATTTGATAAAGAAGAATATTTAAAGATTTTTGTTTTTGTTTTATTGAATTATTCTTTTAAAGAATATTTAATTGGATAAAAAATGTTCGATATCTAAATAAATAAATATCTATTTAGAAAAGTGATCAGACTAATATTAATCTTGAAGTTGAACAAGTTTATTCGTAAGTGAACAAATTTATAATTAAATAAATGAATAAATTGTATAAATGTAGATGTTATTGTTCTCAATGTAAAAAAGGTTTAATTCAAGGAGATTTTTATATAAAAAGTGGAAATTGGAGTCGACCTATTATTTGTTTATCATGTTATTATTTATTATTTACTTATAAATGTACTCGTTGTAAAAAATCAATAACATTTGATCGTAAATGAAATTTATTTAAAAAAAAAAAAATCTTATTTTAAAATAAATTTAGATAAATCATTAACATCTGATGGTTTAACTTCTATTCGTTTTGTTGAACATAAAAATTTTTATTGGCATTCAGATTGTTGTGTTTGTGTTACATGTTTACAATCATTAATTGGACAAAAGTTTTATCAAGATCAAATTTATAATCAATTATTTTGTCTTCAACATATTCCACATCCATGAGAACAGAGATTTGACCATAACGGACGGGGCTACAGCCGGATGCGCATCTACCCATTTTTACAAAATTTAAAGTGTTTTACAGACAACATCAGATTTTTTATTGAAAAAAAAAAAAAAGATCGTATAATGAAAAAAGAAAGTTAATCACTCGTCCAGTTTTACAAAATAATATATACGCATATTCAACTGACAAAAAATTCTCTACACTCCCACTTTTCCTCCTTGACATATCCTTGGCACCCCCCACTTTTTTCTCTTAGGCATATCCATGAATTAGAATAACATTTTATTTAATAAAAACGTTTTCCATGGAAAAAAAATCTGTAGGCGTTTATTTGTTTTATTGAAATAGAGAAAAGAAAAGCAACGATTTATATATCTAAATCTTTTTTTTTCAATTCTTTTTCTTTTTTTTTTTTATTTAAATAAAGCGTTGGCAGATGAAATAATAAAATATATAAGATAATATCTTTTTATTAAATAAGATTATTTTCAAATTTAAATAACATTTCAACTATTATTCATTGAACAATAAATTTTTTTCTTTTAGTTTTTTTACTAAAATATTTTAACAAGTAGGAATCAGATATTTTCTTTTCTAATCTATTTATCAATAAAAAGATGATTTTAATATTTGTTGAATTAATTAATCGTCATAGAGTTGATTTTATCAATTTAATGTTAAAAATAAGTGAGAGTTTATAAGTATCTATCGTTTAGATTCTTTCTATAACGATAATAGTCAATTTGTTATATGTGTAAACCTTTTTTTTTTTCATTTCCAAAATATATTCTGCGTAGTTTAGATTTAAAATGGAAATAGATTCTTTTATAAGACTTTTTTATTTTTTTTTTTATTTTTATTAAAAAAAAAAAACTAAATTTAATGAAAATCGATTTAAAATTGTTTTAGAAAAAAGAAATGTCTCTCCTATTTAATTCATCGTTGAATAAAATTCTTCTTTTATTAATTTTATTTTCGACAATGGAAATGAATGAAAGTCGTTTTGTTTGGGATTTTGGTTCATACTGTTTAAATTATTGTGCAAAAATCAAATATAAATTAGCTGCTGTTAGCATTTGTTCATGTCATTGGATATCATCGAATCATCGACGATCAACCATCAATACTATTTCAGATATTAACAACGATGATCCTTTAGATATAAATACATTTTTAATTAAATAAAATTATTTATTTTTTTTTTATAAATAAAAAAAAATAAACAATTCAAACTTTTCGAAAATGAATCGAATCAAACCGAATGAAAATGAATATTTTTTATTAAATCAATTTAATATTTTCATTTTATTTAATATTTAGAAATAAATTGTCAATAACTATTTCAGACAAATTAAATTCATATCTTATATAGAAATTCTTGTTTTCTTCTATTTTTTTTTTTTATACATCTTAAATATTCTAATCTATTCAATTAATAAATCAACCTATCTTCACATTTTGTTCTTTGACAAAGATTATATTCAATTAATCATCAATCACCTCAAATTTTATAGAAACAATCAAACAATTATTTCATTTATTTATTAGTTCTAATGGATAGTTGAAAAGTTTCGATTTATCTCTCTAAATTGGATCTATTTATAGAGAATAGATATCGAGATAATTGACTAAAGTAGACATTTTTATAGACCGAGATAAAACATATAATATTTAAATAAAATAATTCGAATTCCATATAAATTATCAAATATCATAGTTTATCTATCAAGCAAAACAATGCCATTTTATATCTAACATTTTTCATCACAATATTCCCGAATTGATTCTATTTTAAATCGGTTTAAATGCGGGATGCATTTTTTTAAAATAAACTATTTATCATTCACTTTATGGAAGTGAATCATTTTTTCCGTGAAAATAAACTTCTCGTAGAATTCTATCACATAGATTAACTGATTTTATTTTTAATTATTATTTCCTGAATAGAATTTGTTTTATTCTAAACTAATATTAATCTACCTAAAATTGATAAAATATCAATAAAAAGAGAAGATTTTCTTACAGATTATGAGCATAATGTCTTTGAATAAAGTGTCTTACTAGAAAATAAAATTGATGATAACCATACCATTTTATAGAACTCATAAATAAATCTTAAATAATTTTCAACTCAATTTGAACAACTACTTTCAATATTTCATAATGAAAATATATTCTTCGAGATATTCTTAAATTGAAGATACAAACGAACAGTCTCATAGAAAGGAAAATATAAAAGAATAATAAATAATTCGACTCCTATAAACGATTTTATGTCCAAAAATAAAGTCATTTCATTTAATATATAATGAAAATAATTAAAGTTGAAGAGTGAAGATAAAATATTGGTGATAATAGTCGTATAGGATAAGAGACTATTTCAGATAGATAATTAATCACTTTTTTAGTCAATTTATGATATCCGAAATAAGAAAGTAAATAATAAGAGGAGAAGAATTTCATCAGCTAACGAGATTTTTTCTCGTTTCAAGGTCATTTAAGATAAAAAGAAAAAAAAAATGTTTTATTGAGAAAATTCTTTTTATATAGATTTGTCATTTAAATAAATAAATTTGTTGAAATATTTCTATAATATATAAACATATTTATTTTTGTCAAGATCTTGATAAATAAGTTGTTATTAAAGTGTTAAATGTTGTTTTTTTGTGTAACAAATGAAAGTTCTATAAATGATAAATAAAAAGTTAAAATGTTTGATACGTTTGAATAAATGAATAATGTTGAGAATAATCTTGATTAAAATCTAATGAAATTAATTCTTGAAATAAAGTATCATCATTAAGAATTTCTTTAACAAATTGATCCCATTCTATTCTATCATGTTTATTAAGAGAATTTTTTTCAAAAATCTTATTTATAACTTGATTTATATGAATTTTTGATGATGGAATATCAAATAGATCAAATATATTTCTTAAAAATTCTTTTAATTCATCTCGCGACATTGTTTTTCCTTTTTTATTATAATATAATAAAAAAATGAGATTTAATTTATCATCTATTGATCCATCATTAGTTAATATATTAAGTAATAAAAACTCCGAAAAATCTAATTTATCATCTTTATTTAAATCAAATACATCAAATAATTCTTTTATTAAACCTTTTATTTTTATACTATGTTCATCAAGTAATTGTTGATAATATTTAATAAATTGTTGACGTGTTAAAAATCCATATGGATAACAATGAACAAAACGTAAATACCATTCTTGAATATCTTTAGGATGTAATTTTGTTTTTAATGATAATATATTTATTTCTTGTGTTGTTAACGATTGAGGAATTTTCGATTGAAAACAAGAAAATAAACTACCCATTTATCTCATTGATTTATTATATAAATAACTTTTAAAAAATCCATCGAATTATTTCTTGTTTGTTTATTAGACTTTTTATTAAATAACGATCGATTTTATCTACTCTTAGAAATATATCTGCAATAGTTATTTATTATTTATCGGTGTGTGTGTGTCAGATTTTTCTAAAGAAAAAGAAAAAAATAAGAAATATAATAATAATAAAGATCGACATTTTATGTGACAGATGTTTCTCTGTGAAAATAATCGACACTAAATCAATGATTAAAAAAATAATAAAATTGATAATAAATTGTTGTAATATATTCTTTAGTTAATTAAACATTTATTCAATTCTATATCTATCTATCTATTTATCTATCGAGTTTTTATTAAAAATAAATTAAAAATTATATTCAATTCCCATTGAAATAATTTTATACTAATAAATAAATTATTTCATTTATATTTACAACGTATTTATTATTCGATTTTTTTTAATATGTTCAACATAAACAATTATTTTCTTTGGAATTGACATCGATTTATTCATCTTATTTATTATATTTACAACTCCAACAAATTCAACATAGATCTATTTCTTTTTTAGGTTAATATTTATCTTTATTATAAATATTTAAAATAAGATCCTACCTTAGACTTTTATAAACAATCCTCTTTTTATTCCTTCTACTATTATTCGATCATATTGATTAGTTATTATCATTAATTATAACAAACATATTCGACAATTCCAACCAGATCAACTTAATCTATTATAGTTCGAGTTTATTTTCTCCTTTTACAATAATAATTATTCATATAATTCTAGTTAACGTACGAAAAACTAATTTGTTACTTTAATTTGAGTTAGAAATGAAATAAATATGATCTAAAAAGTAAACTAACTAAGATATATATATATTGAAAGAGAAAAATCTTATAAATAGTATGCTTTCAAACAGTCATCTGTTTAATAGATTCTTTGTTTTATATAAACCATTAAATAAAAGAATTAAAGTAAGTTAATATAGATATTTACATTAAAATAATCGAGAAAGAAAAATAAGTATAAGAGACATGTTTTAATTTGGAGAATAGATATAAATTAGTTTTTGGCTAACATTATAATTTCTAGTTTGATTTGCTATTTGAAAAAGTAAAAAAAGTCAATGTAGATATTATTTTGTTGACTAAATCATTTATTTGACCTTAAATCGATTTTAAAATTTGATTTAAACGAAAAAAAAAAGTTAATTTTGTTCTATTAGATTTTGAAATAGAATGACGAATCTTTAATAATATTTAAAATTCTTATCATTTTCATCGAACTATTATTTTATTGATTATTTTAAATAGATATAAGAGACGATTGAAATTTTATTTTATTTCTATCGAGTATATAAATTTGGAAAATAATTCTATTAAGACATAAAACAATTCGAATTAATTAAAGAATAAATATTTATTTAAGATCAATATGAAATTAAATTCTTATTGAATATATTTTTATTAGAAATATAATATATTAAGATATTTTTTATTTCAATTTGAAGAGAATTTTAAAAAAAAACGTCCATAATCAATAGTGATACCGTTTGACATTAGTTTATTTTGTTAAAATATATTTTAATATAATATTACTTATTTAAATTGAATCATTTCTTCTTCTTGTTTATGAAACAGTAGAAAGTCAACGATAAAAATAATATTCACTAGAATAATATCATTATTCTCAATTAAAAGGATCAAATTGATATTAAAATAGGTTGAATTTTTTCAGAGATTTTCAATCTATGCTTTGAACGTGTCATTCGTTGTCATTATTAATGTTATCTGAAATAAAATAAACCTTTGAATATAAATTTAATTGAAATTAGTAAAACTAATGCTTGTTTTTAACATAATCAAATTCAATGATTTATTTTTTTCGAATCAATCGAATCTCAATTAAATCGCTTCAAGAAAATCTTCTTTCAACCATCAATTCATTTTAGAATATTTTCCTTGAAAAAAAACTAAAACAGCAAATAAATACTTGACAAATAGATTTACGATAGATATATATAAAGCAAAAAATTTTTCTCATAGAATTTTCAATACTATAGTGAATGAATTCTATTAGTTTGTCATCATTTATTGATGATTGATTTATGTTGAAAAATTCTTATCAGCCTCATAAAAAATAATTAAATCAATAAATTTAATCTAGAATATTTATAATTCTAACCCTTTTGAAAAATAAACTAAATCAATCGAAGGTATTATTCATTCTCTGACTACTTTCTTTTTCTTCAGTTAAATATTCTTTTCTGATAGACAATTATTTTCATTTGTTGCTTTTTCGAGTTATCCTTTTCAATGTTTGTAAATAGAAAGAGTTTAGAAAACAAAAAATATATTTAATTAACTGAAATAATTCTCATATAATAATTGATGGATATCAAGACATAAAACAAAACTGGTTCAATAATCATCTCTATAAAAGTAAGATCGGACAACTGGGTCGTTTAGTTTCCATCTCAACTATTAATCAAATGATTTTATTCAATAGAATAACTCTTTATCAGGAAAATGAAACATATCAAACATAATAATCTTATTTTTTATTCAACCTGATTTATTTTACAGACAACTCAATCAACTATTTTCTTGATTATATCAATTATAGAATAATTATTTACCATTTTATCGAATAAATAGAATAAAATTTAATGAATAAAGATCATGAATATATTGAAGATATATCATATTAGTGATAAACATATTCTCTATCAAATAAAACAATTAGAGAAAAATTTAATATCAAGGTTAGAAATATTCTTTTCATCGTATTTATTTTCGATAAATCTTTATTTAATAAGTTTTCTTAGCATTTATATATCGATCAAGTATGAATAGGAATTCTTTTACTGGGTTAAAACTTTTTTCAAATTCATCCTGCTTTTAAATATTGAAAAGATAATTTTATTGTTAACTTTTATCAACCATTTAACATATATCCCTATTCATTGTTATTTATATATATATATTATATAAAATAGATCCGATTGATAGATTAAATATTTCGAGTGATCAGAGATATTATTAAAGAATTTATTTTCTTAAAATACTTCTTCAAATAAAAGTGGCAAAATGAGAAAAAATTTTTCGGTAAAAAAAAAGGACGAAATATTTCAATAATCTTAATCGAAGCGATTATTTATCATTTAATGTCATTAATTATTGGTGGTGCCAAATTTCTATTAAAACAAAATCAAATTGAATTGTTCGACAGATTTTATAGAAATATGAAAAATAAAATAATCTTCTTTATTCTCATCAGGATTTTCTCTTCAGTTTGCTTTTTTTCTCATTAAAAAAAAATCAATTCAATAAATTTGTTTAGTTATAAATTGTATATCGAGAGTCATCTATGTCACTATTTGTTATTTTATTTGTTTAATTCGTTGTTAACCGATCAATCGTTTCGTTTTTTTTATTAAATCAATAAATAAGTCATATAGAATAAATGTAAAATGTCGTTATCATTACGTCCTTTAGTAGGTATTGGTGTTATTGTTGTTTATCCGTCACGTTATCCTGAACATGTACTTGTATCTGAACGTTTATCAAGTCACGGTAAAGGTTGTTATCAATTACCAGGTGGTCATCTTGAATATGGAGAATCATTTGAAGAATGTGCTCAAAGAGAATTAAAAGAAGAAACAAATCTTGATTCTTCTTCGTTTAAATTAGTTCATGTTACAAATACAATTTTTTCTCAAGAAGATGGACAATCTAAACATTATGTTACACTTTTTATGAAAACAATTATTAATGATGATTCAGCATTAAAATGTGTTGAACCACATAAAAATTCAAATTGGATTTGGATTAAATGGAAAAATTTAAATCAAATGAAATTATTTGCACCACTTCAACAAGCTGTTAACAATTCCAATTTTAATCCATTTATCACTGACAATATTTAAATAAGAAATCCAACACTTTTTATCAGAGGATAATTATCTATTCAAACAAATTTGCACATTTTATTCTCATTTTTAACTATTTATTTCGACATTTTTTTAAAATTGATATTAATAAAAATAAAAAAGATGATTATTTAACATAAATAAAGTCTTTCATTGTGATAATCGATATTGATTATTTTATTTCGATTTATAAATGATTTTTATTTTAAGATAAATATTACTTTAAAAAAGAATAAATAAAATACTTTTGTCAATATATATCGATATAACTATAATATATTATAGTTAAACATTTAACTTGAATTATTCTCAGATTTTTTTAAATTTTCAAATGAATTTTTATTGAGAGAATAATGTTTCTTACAGAGAGTCTTAGAAAATTTCAATAGGAAAGCGAACATGAATAGTTCGAAATCAGTTTTAATGATTGACATGAGACTTTTTTTTCTATTATTTTATTAGATATTTATTTAAGTTTTATTTCATATTGAATAACTGTTTTTAAAAAATGGTCAAATTCAAATAAAATATATAAATAGATTATTTTCAAAATGTTTAAAAAAAATCAAATATATTGTAGAGTTTCTGTTTAAATCCTTTTCAAATAAATATAAAATCTCATATTGATTGTAATGTGATTTTAAATGATCATATTATAGATATTCTTTCAAATTTTTGATTTATTTTCTATTCAATGTAAATCAATATCGATTATCATTTAAGAAAAAAAAAACACATTTTCTATGACATTACTGTCTATTAAGGGCGCCACTCAGAAAATCCAATTTTTCGAAAAGTTGAAATCGACGTTTTATCATAGGAAGATGCAGCGAAGTCTTTTCTTTGAGAATATCTATGGCTAATCACAAAATGAAGAGATTTTGACGAACGTATCATCTTAAACTTGGCTCCTAGTATCATATTTTTCGAGAAATTTTCACGGGTTTTTTATAAGTTTTTTCGGTTTTTTAGGGTGCTTCCTCTTTGCATCAGCATTTCGTAAAGTTGGTTTTTTTTATAGAAATCACTACGAGAGTATTAACACTTAAGATTAAGATAATATATTTCTAGCCTTTTCTGAACACTAATATATAATTGAAGTGTGTTTCGAAAAAATCGATTTCTAAAACTTATTTACCCTTTTTCCTCAAAATCAGTTTTTTTCGAGCATACTATTTACGCGGGCAAATCTTTCTTGATAACCACTCAGTGTAATAATGGTAACTTTGTTTTTGTTATATAGCAGACAGCTAGGGTTAGGTCGCAACAGAGTCTAATTTTTGAATTTCTCTTTTGCTAAAATAAAAAATCTGGATCTTTGATTTTCATTACCGATTAGCGTATGGGTGGGTGTTATAAAAGAGGAGACTGATACTCACACTCACACTCACACCCTCGAATTTTGGGTCTTTTTGATATGTAACAAGAGTCCAGGATAGTTTGAAAAAGAAGAGAAATTTGACATTGATAATATAATTTCTAAATATTCTCTATGGCATTAGACGAACGTATAATCAACCTGATATTTATCGGACACAATTTGGTTTAATAAGTACTGCTGAATATCTTACACCAATGTTACAACTACCTCAACGAAATGATAACAATGTTGCTCGACGTCTCTCTAGAAATTCATTTCTCATTTCATCTAAAACATTCGTACGTCGAATTATAGAAGGTATGTTAATTTAAAATATTTTTTATTTATTTATCTTATTATTAAGTTTCTTGAATCTAGAAAGGTCGATTGTATCAAAAATATTTTCTGTTTTTATGTAGACAAAAAGAGAGTAAAATTTGTTAGACGTAATCCCTGGCTTCATGATATCAATGATGGATAGTTGTTCTTTATATCGCTATGGAGACCTGAGACATAAGATCACGCCTTTAACATAACTAATTTTATTCAGATGACATACAAGCAAACCTCAATATAGACGTAACCTTGTCGTACTTGATGATAATCTTTTAACATTATAATATCTTAGCTGCCTTTTACGGACTATTGCATGTACTATCATATAAAGTTAATAATAACAAAAAAAAAAGATGATTGATTGTGGTTTGTGTCATTCACTGATCTTCTTTGTTTTACCTTAATCGTCATATAATAGAAAGAAAAGAATCATTAAATTATGACAGACTAGGACAAACCATATCTATTCCATAGTGGGATATGCGAGAATGATGCTTGACGAAACCTGTATGTATATTGATTAGCACGATAAACTAAGATTTAGAGATAGAAAAAAGGCAATGTACTATATATGTAGAAAGAGAAGGTGCATGTTTCGTTAATTATAATGGAAAAGTGATGCCATCGGATGAATGTGCACACGACATTTTGCTCTTAATTTTATTGATGATCGAACAATGAATGGATTAGTGAGAAAAAAACACTAAGGAAATATTTATTAGAATAATCTAGTATCATAATAAAAGATATGATCATCTGAATTCATCATCTAATAGTCACCAAAACGTTTAATATGTCACTAATCGTAAGCAACATTTGTCAACATCGAAAATTAATATCCTAGGTATTCTTTTCTAAAACTGGAATCATATTCAATATGGAAATCAAATGAATAATCAGTTTGACTACACTACTGATTAGTTTACAAATATTATCTTGACATACTACACAATGTTTGTTCTTTATAAGCTTCATGCTGTATTAGGCAGATTACTTCTTTTTCATTCGTAATCTTAAGATTACGATTACGATAACGAACCAACTTTATTTCAAAAATACAAAACAAATGTATAATAAATAGAAGTTGCACGTTTACAAACACAAAAAACTACTTGGCTTTCGTAAATGAAGATTGTCGATTTAGACCACCACCATCTCTAAAAGATAAAAAAATTATGCATATTGATATCAGATAACTTTAATAAATGTATAATACTTTGAGAATATCTTATCAATATTCATTGATTCCATTCTATTAGGCCAGACTCTGAACAAATTGACATTTACTGAGAAAACATGTGATGTCTAACAATTTGATGAACATTAATTGTCATTTTATACTTACATTTAATAGACATTTCATTCAATTTCTCGACCATTTGTTTGTGGTGCAATCTGTATTTAGCTTCACTAAAATAAAATCGATAGTACCCAAAAAAAAGATTATGTTCACTTACAACATGAACATTAAGAAACGTTGATCGTTGTCCAATGGATAACCAATATCTTTCAACCGTTTACAATCTTGGAGGACCACTAAACGAAAAGTTTAATAAAGATTGTTATATCTGAGTGTTTCAACATATTTCTTACTTTGAAAATCGTCGTTCTCAAACGCAGCTTTAATTCTATTTTTTAAACCATCAATAATTTGTTTTTTATCTGTCGATGTGTCAATAACACGAGTCACTATCTTAAAATTTTATTGAAGATGAATAGTATCAAAAATTAATAATAACAACAAACCTGTATAGCCTCATCATATTGATCATTTGCAATAGCCGACATATACGAAAGTAAACTATCGTTTGACATCTCGTTTACTAACAAAAAAATTGAACAGATATTTGATCTGAAAGAAAAATGAGAAAAAGTAGTGATCAAAAAACACGAACGGCTTATGTTTTTATGAAATTAATCGGACACTTTTATACGTAAGAGAAGATAATAGTCAGACAAACGATTATAAGTGTATCGGTCGACTACCATGATTCTTAGGCCCCGAACAGACTGAAAAAAATAAAACGAATTAAAACTGCATTAATGAAATGAATCATCTACAAAAAAGGCGATTTGAATCGGAACAAACCAATCACGTTGCTTAATTCGTTTTATTTTTTTCAATCTGTTTGGGGCTTTATCTTTTATTTTTTTCATCAAACTGTTGATGTCAAATCTTTTTAATTTAAATTTTCTTTTAAATTCTCTTTGTGCCAATGTACAGTTTACAGTGATTCACGTTAAAATTCGTACGATCAATGGTGTAAAGCGCAATTGTCAATATACATGAAAAACCAAAGTACATTAAAAGTACTTTGTAAGATAAAAACGAAGTCGAAAATTTCATTTCTTATTAGATTTTGATTCTTTAAAGTAGATGTCATGTATATTTATTCTTGCTAAAGAATTATTTTTTTTTTGCTCTATATTCATCTAGTTTATCAATTTATTGATTTGATACTGGACAAGAAAAATAAAATAACATAAATATCTTTCTTCTTTTTGCTTATTTTGCTCATACAATCATATCAAATGTACCTGAAAACGTAATTAAATATTTTTAGCCAGAGTGAATAAAATTTATTTCTTTTTTGAATGCAAGAGAAGTTAGTTGTATCATCTTGCACGATCCCTCCGTATATGTTGTCGGTTATCTATATCGAATTTCTTTCTATCAGAGAAAATGGTAAATATGTGTGCGAATGTCTTTTGCTTGATCATGCGTTTAAAAAGCAGCAAGAATACGAAAACTAAGAATTCTTTCACCTTTAATTAAAGTCGAGAAAACATATTATATATATATGTAGCGCTAATTACTATTTCACAAAACAACGAACAACATACACGTGTTTCCTTAATACAGTAATATCTACAATAAGTACAGGATGATCTAAAAGTAACTGGACAGTCTTTGATTGCGAATAACTTTTGATAGGAATAAGATAGAGAACTGCACTTTCCATCATTTAAATCTAAAAGAGGAGATAAAACTGCATCGAATCTTGAATATCAGATTTTTATGACAATTTTTCTCACGAGGGAACGTTTTCAACTGTCAAATCCCTTTTGAGTTCGGACTTGATGCATAAGATAGACCTCAGTGAGATATGAAAAATCCCAAAAGATGAAATTCCCTTAGGCCTTCTATACAGAGTTATAGACATTTTACTGGAATTTTAACCTAGAGTATGGTATATACGAACAAATCGAATGACGGTATTTCGATCTGACATTTTGCTCACAGACAGGTCTATACACGAGTAGAATGCTCTGAAAATTTCAGCTCAAAAGAATTTTTCTTTCCCGAGATATTAAAGTCCCAAAACACAGAAAATCCTAGCATCTTTTGCTGTATATCAGTCATTTTTGGGACTTTAATATCTCGGGAAGGAAAAGTTCTTTTGAGCTGAAATTTTCAGAGCATTCTACTCATGTATAGACCTGTCTGTGGGCAAAATGTTAGATCGAAATACCGTCATTCGATTTGTTCGTGTATACCATACCCTAGGCTAAAATTCCAGTAAAATGTCTATAACTCTGGACAGAAGGCCTAAGGGGATTTCATCTTTTGGGAGTTTTCATATCTCACTGAGGTCTATCTTATGCATCAAGTACGAACTCAAAAAGGATTTGACAGTTGAAAAGGTTCCCTCATTAGAGTCTCCAGACACATTTTTGTAAAACAAAATATTGTGTATTGTAAAAGTTTTAGAATTTTAATTTTCAGTAGTGCATCAGAATCGTTAACTAAAGTTTAATAATCTGTGTAAAATCGATGCCAAAAAGATTTAGCCAATTATGAGTTCTTAGCATTTTACTACGTGTTTTTGGCAGATTTTTTGGGAAAAACCGACTTTCTTTTCTGATTTTCTGACGAAAATTTCACCTTCTAAACTTAATTAAAAGTTTGAAGTTTTTAAAAAACATCTCGGGAGATCTGAAGAAAAATTGTCATAAAAATCTGATATTCAAAATCCGATGCAGTTTTATCTCCTCTTTTAGATTTGAATGATGGAAAGCGCAGTTCTCTATCTTATTCCTATCAAAAGTTATTCGTAATCAGAGACTGTCCGGTTACTTTTGGACTATCCTGTATGCTGTCAAATAATCGTTGAAAGTTAAAGATAATCGAAGAATACACTATCTTGACAATATTGTATTGATTCAGCTATATCTTATTTACTTTATTGGACAAAGCTTAGCATATATAAACAAGAGAACTCAACATAGAAATTCTCATTATTTAACATTAGATTTTTAAAAATCATAATTTTGAAAACGACTAAAGAACTTTAATATTGATTCATTTGAAACGACATAGACAATATTTGAAACACGAATGAATTCGATATACAAGTCTACAATTAAAATTGAGATTTAATTTGTTTCTATTGAATCTGCGTTTTTCTATAGATTGATGAAATGTTAGCACACTGTTAGGGGAGCATCATCTGATTGAATTTCGATAGCAAGATAAAAGTGAATATAGGGTTCAGATCTTTTATTTAATATAAAAAAA